AGAAAACAAGTAGCAAAGGGAACCCATAGTTCCATTTTAGACTGAAACAGGCTTTTACCAGATGAACCAGTTGATTTGTGCTGAAACTGTAAATTAAAATGAATTACTGATTTTATAATCAGCACATTTGTTAAGATACAGAAGAGTACAGTCTAGGAAACAACACAATGGAACAGCAACACTAGCTGCTAGGCTTGCTTCTTCATAGGAATCTGTACTGATGAAACATCCCTAAAAATGAACAAACCACCTTGAAAAGCTCTAGTGCTTATCTGAAAAGAAGCCAGTGGATATGATGGATGGCCACAAAACCTCTGGTCCTTCCCAAGTATGCATCAGTACCAGGAAGCACCCAGTTTACAATGAACAGAGTGGAATCTCAGTATGTTGTTCAATAGAGTTCGTAAGACCAGATAATGAATGGGTAAAACAAGTGGATCTGTGTCAAAGAGCTACTAAAAGAAGAGTCAAGGATTCATGACATGGGCATCCATGGTCATGTACTGCCTGCATGTACCTGAGATGTGAAAGGAGCTACTGCTCCTTGACTGCTTGTACTATCAGGGCACCACAGGACAAGCCAGCAGTTCTTAGATGCAGCCCAGTTTTGAATGTGCCAGTCCTGAACAGCCCTTGATTTTTTTTCCCCTCCTCTTTGTTAAGAACAATGACTCTAGTGAGGCTTGACCCACAGGAGGATATTACTCCATCTATTGTGACATTGAAGAATCACAGCAGAAAAAACCTCAGGCAAAAAAACTACAAGTGCTGCTGAATCATTTTTGGAGTTAGCCTGCCAAGTTACATATTCATTAGTGCCTTCAGATGGCTTTTGAAAACCTTCTCTATGATGGCTGCAATTCTTCCCCTCCCTTTCACACTCTAAATGTCAATTGGTTTAAGAGAATTACTCACATTTGCATAACAGATTGAAGCTATAAACTTATGATTTGAAAGCTAACAGACTTACAGTCAGTCTTGATTTGTCAGGTTTGTAGATTTACACTAAATTGAACCTACCTTAAATGCCATCCGAATAGTCTCCTCTGTGTTGGCTGGGTTACAGAGAATAGACAAACCAATTACATACTCTCTGAAGTCGATGGTGCCATCTCCATTCTGTAACCCAAACATGCATGGCAGTAGTTATAGTTAACACTGCAAATCACTTTAAAAGCTCTTCTGTAAATCAAACACAATACATGCACTAAGACAGTTTACAATACTAGAGGTTTTTGTTCTTCCTGGGAAAAAACCTAAGAACTCACTAAATCCGTGAGGCTGGAGTAGCAATATTCATGCTTTCAATAGCTACAAACTGGGCATAGATTTCTATTTTATGAACAAACAAAACAAAAACCAAAAAGATTTAAACAAACTTAATGTTTTATTTTAGTACATGGCCTTCAGAAGGGCTCTAAGAATAACTGGAATCCTTGTGTTTGAGGTCACAGCAGCAGTGCATGCAGCACTGGCACTTGCTGAAGTTCAGAGACCAACACAACAATCCAGAATCAACAGGCCAAGAGTGAGGCTGTTCCTTTGAGTTTGAACCTTCAGCAATAAAATGTATGTCAGTGAAAGGACAATCAAATCTACCTGGTTTATCTTAAGCTTTCTTTTGAAGCCTATGCACTGCCCTACATGCTATTTGGAAGCCAATGCACTGTCCTACCTTTAAAGCCAGAAAGGCAAGGAATTCATTGGAATAGCCTCTGTAAAAATTCCAGTTTTGATCTGAACGAACATTTCAATGTGTTAACTACATAGCTACATCAACAAAACTTTTGAAGCCTTCTTTGATGGGATTAATTCTGTGTAAGCTGCATTATATTTGCAGATAGGGAGAGTGGCAGATGTCTGATGAAATCTGCACTTATGTCAGTAGTGTTTCTGTCACCACACTGGAAGTTTCTTGAGTGTTTTGGGAATCATCTGTCTGGGCTAAAGCCATCTGCAAATCTTAGATGGTGGGACACAGAGCAGGTAATGACAGCATGATAGAGATGACAAGTAGTTAATTGTTTTGAATATTCACAATAAGAGCATTCATCAAAATGTTTTAAAAGCAAACTGAAGTGTAAAGCAGAGTTCCCTTTGTGGATAGTGTGTTTTGCATTTCAAAAAGAAAAACATTTTCTTAAAAAGTGGAGTCCCTACATATGAGAACAGCACAAAACATTTTCAGTCAAGTGAGAGAGGGGTGGTCTGCTGGGTAAATCTGCAGCAAAGAGCCAGACCAGGATTCTATTTCTGGCTCTCCTACCAACTCCTAATGTCCACTTGAGCATAAAAACCTTAACCTTTCTGCTCTTTGTTTTCTGCTGCTGAACAGTGCAATATGCCAGGGGAGAATACTAAGGCTGTTCTGTAGAGTGCTTTGAAAACATTGGGTGCTATGAAACAGGGATTTTAGTAATTGAATTTAGATTTTGAGATAGCTCTTGACTAACAAAATACGTGTAGTGATACAATGAAATCAGTATTACTAACTTGTCATCATCGAGCTATACATTTCACAGGATTTAAAACGTCTAAGATAGAATTTTATTTAGCCTTCAAAACCAATGCAGGACTCTTCTGCATAGACAACTGCTACTTTCTTTATATTGATGGTCTAACCAACCTTTTTGATTGACTTTGAACATGTTGTACTTCAGAAACCTGTGAATTACAGGGAAACTTCTGAGCAAAGATACGAATAAGATACAAACTTTTAAGTTACTTTCATGGGTGTCTAAGGGTTATAACTTTTGACAGTTTTTAATCATTACACAAGGACAATGTTGTCCCATACATGTCATTTTATTTATAAATCTAGATCTCATTGTGGTAAACAGAGTTTGACTTTCAGTATTTTCTCCACATTGTAGTTCTCAGAGATAACAGATCTAACTTTAAAGTGTAACACTACAAACATAAAGTCTTAAAACAACTGAAGCAAGAGTGTAAATAATAATTGTTCAAAGTTCCATAGAATATTATTTTTGGACAGTTTTGTAGACTGTATTCTTAGCAAAGGATTTTTTGATGTGATTAGAATATTGTTGAAATTTATTTTCAAAGTTAAGAATATGTATTACAGTTAAAGAATTGGGAAGTAAACTTTAAAATGATTTATTAAAAACAACTCCTGAAAGAAGTTAACATAGCTATGACTGCACATGGAAATATGACAAGGAAAAAGACAAAATAAAGGTCATATTACTTTCATTAAAGTGCAAAACTCAGTAATCAAAACTGAGTGCAGTCTGATAGACAGAACTCCAGCCATTTTAGAAGAAATAAAGTTACTATGCTTGCAAGATCATGTTGTGACTAGTTCTGCTAACTCTAGGATGCTGGCTAACTTCCAAATGCTCTGGCATTCTGGTTAAGGAGAAATGATGGGGCTGCTGCCTGGAAAAAGAAATGGAAGTTAAACTGAAAATACAGGAAAACCTTTAGTGCTTGTGTAACACCACAGCAAAAAGCACTTACAATTGTCTTTCTCTGTATATCTAACAGTGTTTGCAGTCTGTGTACCCAAGAATATTTTAAGGAAGCAATGTGTGAGCTGAGCTCCAGTTCTCTAAATGGCAAAGTAGAACACCAGAATTTGGGTATTTGCAGTTATGCTGCACAAAACAATCAAAACATAATGTAACCTTAACAACTCTTGTTTTCTTCAAGAAAACCAGCTTTCTGCTACTATTTTCCCTATAGCATGCTATGGTAACTGGGGTTTTGTTGTTCTTTTTTTAATATAATACAGTAAACGTCAGACTTTGGAAAACAAGAAAGTTGCACTGTCATAAGCATTCTCCATTTAGATTTGCACAGAGACTGCAAGCCAGATGCAATATGAAGTTTAAAGTACTACTGCATCAATACTTTTGAGGAAGTATCACACTTTATCTCCTGCTCCCTTTCCTATTACTCAGAGCCCAAATGGCACTGTGTGGCACAATGGATAACTGAGTGCTTTTCCATTGGAGAACTGGGAGGAGGCTGAATGCCATTAGGAAGGAACTGGCCTCTTTTCCCTGGGACAATATGAATATTTTTCTGTTTGCTATTAATCAAAGTGCAGGAGGAAAAAGTCTGGACACAAATTGTAAGTGAGTTTCAAGTAAAAGGCTTCCGAAAGTATACCAGGGAAGACAGCTCATCAATTTGAAAAGTACTGTTTGCCAAGTGCAAGTGCAAGTTTTAAAATGCTATGGAAATTTACAGACCAAACCAAACCAAACTAAACCAAACCACAAGCACCTCATTAACTTGCAGATGGCCTGCAGGTATTGTGTGGTATTTCTAAATGAGTCACTGCTGTGTCCCGGGGGAAGGGCAGGGGTATGAGGACTCTCACATCTGGAGATGCCTCTAGAGCCAGGCTGCCTATTTAACTCATCTTTTCACACTCCAGCCAACTCGCACACACCCAAGACAATTCTCCTTTAAAGCAGCAGAGCCTGGCCAAGAAATCTGCCTTGTGCAAGAGCTGTTTTGATCAACCATGTAATCCTTAATTCAAAGAAATGTACCTTTGACAGTTCATGTTATTCCTTTTTTTTTTTTTTTTTTTGACTCAGAAGTTGACTTATTAGCCAGAACTGCATAACTGACTTGAGTGGGATGCTGCACTACGATGAAATTTCACTCAGATAGCCAGAGGTTGACTTTGGCTGTCTGCTATGTGACTGCATAATTATTCCAAGTTTCTCTAAATATAAATGTAGCATTTTAAGTTGTTTGCTTCATAACTATGTTTAGGCTTGAAGGAAAGAGAAAAAAGACTAGTTCATAGAACTGTAGTAAGGAGAAGATCATTGCAAAAGTGGCCTTGTGTAAGTCTTCGATTTTGTCCTGGCCATGACAGTATCACGGAGGTTTTGCTTCAGCAGGCAAGCATGAAAAAGCAGAAGTAGAAAGGAAATTGAATGATTATGTAAGTTCACTGATCATTACAGTTATTGCTACTCTAATGTTTTTTCCCTTGTTAGAAATAACTGCACAAGACTCTACCAGTGACTGCCTTCAGGCAAACCGCCTTTATTCTGGCTTAGTGACTGCTGACAAATCAGAACAGCAACATCAACACCAAACTTAGGAGCTTTTTTACATAATAGTTACACTAATATACAAGCCACTTTACATGAAAAAGTAACTAAGCTTTGATCTTTCCAGTATATTCACTAACCTTAAGAGTCTAGAATTTTCTGAAGACAAACTTATGCAACTGCCCAATCAACAACCTGCACAAATCCTTCAGTAAAGCAAACTAGTGCATACACAAGAAGAAAAACTACACCTGAAGCTGAGCCATCTACCACTAGCTACATCTGCCTTAGGAAGATTAAAGGCAAAGACTGCAGGTGTACAGCAGAGCACTGCAGTCCTCCACGTGTATCATCTTCCAGACACAGCTGCCTCTCTGCCGTGCCTTCAGGAATACATGGTCAGCTGCAGCCAGTCTTCCATGGTCACTTTGATGTGCCCACTCCCATCTTGGTCCAGGCTCTTGAATGCCCTGAACATGCTGTCCAGCCGCACCAGGCAGCTGATGAAGCTGTTGAAATCCATGCTGCCATCCTCGGCGGCGTACCTGCGCACGATCACCTGGCACAGCTGCTGGTTCAGCTGGAACCCCGCAGCCTTCAAGGCGTTTGGCAGCTGGGCTCTCCCAACGGTGCCTGCCTGATGAGTGTCATACTGCTTGTACACACACTGCCACTTCTTGACGTTGTTCCACAGATACTTGAACTCCTCAAAGCCCAGCTTGCCGCTTGCATCGCTGTCCATGACGGCGACCATGCTACGGCACGTGTCCAAGCTGAAGCCATCCGTCTTCAAGTCTTGGTGTCTGGAAAGGACTTTGTTCAGGATGTCCCTGAGCTCTGTGGCACACACTTCCATATCATCTCCAGCCAGCTGGGCAAACAGGCGACGAAACTGTCTGATCTCATCGCTCTCCTGAGCTTCCACGTTTGTAAAGTGATTGCGAGGAGGTGGAGGTGGCTCTGGATTATACTGAGCTGCTGCCTCGCTTATGAGGCTGACGAGACCTCCAACAAGTCCTCCAATATTCCCTGCACCTCCACCTCCTGTCAGGAGCCCTCCAATATTCCCTGCACCTCCACCTCCTGTCAGGAGCCCTCCAAGGCCACGTGCAAGGCTTCCTCCACGACTACTGCCACTTCCTCCGCTCAGCAAAGCTTTAGCAAGGAACATTGTGAAGATTTTTTGAAGCGAGTCACCCGGAGACCCAGTGCTCTGCAGCTCTCCGAAGCTGTTTTGTGTCTGACTAGGGTGTGGGAAAAACACAGCTTATCTGCATGCTTACACTTCACCATGTCTGTGCATGTCCCTGGCTGCCAGTTATGTCTTACCAGTTTCTGTCAGGTGTTGATACGCCTCTATTTCTTTTCTTCTTTGCATTATGTTTATGTGATTTGAAGAATCATTTTAGAGAAAAAAATAATGAGGTTGAAACCCACAAAGCAGAAGTCTCAGAATGCCTGTGCTCATACCTGAAGTAATTTGAAAATAGTCCTGTTAGATGAGTGTGACTGTTACTCAGTTGTTCTGATCTCCTTAAAGGTGAATGCAGCTTTGGACTTGTTTGTTTTCACAATCTTTTATTCCCCCAAATTTTTAGTGAATTGAGCATTACTTTGCTAGTTCTAGTCATTGATGTTGTGCCATATAAAGAAAGTGAAAGGAGTACGATTGTCCTTAATTACTCTGGTTGCCACAGCACATTTCTGATGTAGGTCCTGTGCTTCAGGATTCAGAGTACATGCCAATGGTCCAAGATGGGGAGGCAGGAATGACAAAAGGATGAGTACCTAGTTCTGCTACAGCTTCAAGGCATTCAGCATTTCAGGAAATACGTTTGACTCTCCTATTTTAGAGCTTGTAAAATTTTTTCATGTGGAAAAATCCTGAAACAGTTTTAATCAGCATATAGCATAGCCTCCCAAGACAGGCACACTGCTAAGGCTAACTGATCAGTGATGGTGAGCTGGGAAAGCTCTTCTGGTAAGAGAAAACCTCCAGTCCACAGGCACTTGCAGGACAACAGGCTGTGTGCTCATGTGGAGGCTAGAAGTAAGATTAATTCTATCTCTGCTCTAGTCATTGGTGCTTCTGGTATAGAGAGAAATGCAGCCATTTTTGTCATCCTGAGAGAGCTGGAGAGATTAGCAGTGACTAGGGGTAAAGCCTAAATGATCATGTTAACCCAGGATCCCCTCTATGGCTGGAGAGAAGCAAGAGGAGTCCCTGTAAAGCCTAACTGCACCCTTCACAAGCACAGCAGGAACACTCCAGTGTTCCTGTTAATACTCCAGTTAGCTTCACTCTGCCTTAAATGATCTAATTACAGCAGCTAACTAAGCTATCAAAATGTATGTAAGATCAAAATCTGCAGTCAGCAAAAGAAAATATTCAGCTATTACCAGCATGAAGATTATTGTCTGATACTGGTGCAGCAACTTGGTCCAAGTTTTGCCATTTCACAAGACAGAAACTAATGAATGTTTCCTCCATTGAAACTTATGAACAAAACTATTAAGAGTCACCTACCTTGCTTACAGAAACTGTTAATCAAGAAGCATTTACTAAGCTGGACATAATGAATTATAATAAATATCCTTCTGGTATGTGATTTCTAACAAAATATTGTCAACAAGTCAGTAAACCAATTACTCACCCTGTCAAAAAGTAGAAACAGCTCTTTAAGGACATCTGAAATAGGCAGCTTCAAGTACTCAGCAAACTCCTCAATTCCAATTCTTCCTCCTTTGGAAGCACTTGCAATAGCAGCAAAAGTATCCAACTGCTCTCTGACATGATTCCATTTTAGGCTATGCAAACATGAGGGAGAGGAGACATTTCTATACAGAAGTTCTCAGACAGATGGAATTTCAGTAGGAGTTATTACAGTGTTAAAAGATGAAAAACTGCCACTTGGGGCATGAGTGTACAGCATTTCTAATTCTGTGCTTCAGACCAGACATTTTACTTTAAATCAGTAATTAAGGACTGCTTCCCTCTGGCTAGTAAATTAAAAGCAGGTCATTCTATGCTTGGGTATGTCAGACTTCCATAGAATGACTTCCTAAACCTAGATTGTTGTCCAGTTACTAGGCTGCTCCAGTGGAGAGCTTTTCATTACCATAAATTCAGGTGTAGCAATATTTTGCTGCATCATGCTCTAGGGTAAGTATTTCCTTGACAGAGGTCTCAGCTCTATCAGCAAACTCTCTACCCAAACACCAGTATTGCCAGTGTCAGAAGTGTCAGATCTCTGCAGATATACATCACTGCACCTCGGTAAGAATAATTAGGATTGCCATGTATCCAGATGGAGGTCCATAAATGGATATATAGCACATAATAGTAACTCAAGATTTATTTGACACATTCAGATTTTACCACCAGCCAGGTTATTTAATGCAGTATGGTTACATGGCTCAGTCCTCAAATTCCACTGCATCCAGACAGAAAAAACTGACATCACTAGTGACACATAGCTGCACAGTAACACTAAGAACAGTAAGCTGAAGTTTCAGGCTGGAAAGAAGGTTTTTTATTTCCTGCCACAACCTGCCTGTGCCTCACCACTAAAGAAATTTAAATTTGCACCAAGATTACCACTGAGTGCTTAAAATAGGTACTGCTCTACTTTTCTCACCCTTTGGTGAGAACAATCTTTTCTCCTGCAACACTGGTGACAAAAATTACTCGGGATTAGTCCTTACTGGGATTTTCCTCATCTCTCATTTCCTTGTAATTTATGTAAGTTGTATGCATAAATACACTGTATTATACATGGCCAAGTCTATTCTCTGGTTATTTAACCTTTGGCAGAAGGCCATCAAAACCTGCAGCACTTTTCTAATTTCGCTGTCAAGAGATAAAACTTCCCTTACTTGAGTTTCTTGCTAATTTTGGTGAACTCCACCAGCCCGGCTTCCATGGGTAAAGTCAACTGTCCTGCTGAAATCATCAGTCTGCAATCTTCAAAAGTATGATCAGTGATTGGCACATTCAAAGCACTGAAATAAAATTAAAGAAAAAGTAGAATCAATTTCTTATATGAAAATAACTTTTCGGTGTTTCCCTTCTCTGATATGTGAAACAAACGATAATTAATTCTTGCACTGCTGCAAGTAGGACAAAGCAATCCCCACCATTTCATGAAACTGTGAAACCAAACTGTGAAACTACGTTATAGCAGTACCACGAGGTTTTAAGATTTACAATCTTGTAAATGCAGCCCAGTAATGCTGGAGAACAAACCACCACCCACTTATCCTTGCTAAGCAAGAAGAGATCATTTTATTCCAGTTTTCTATGAATTGAACATACTATATTCCAATGTAAGACAACTTTCTTTATGTTCCATGCAAAAATAATCAGGGTAATTTAGCATAGGAATTTGGCACCTCTTAGTGAAAATCTAGAGCCATTCTTATGTACAGTACTGGGTCTTGACTAAATTGTACTTTATTGCTAGGCTATACGTGGAATTGCTGGATATAAAGGAATAGTTCTCAAAAGTTTTATTGATGATTACTTACTTTGCCATGGTTTGTCGGACTCTGTTGGCAAAAATAATTGGATCATTCTTTTCTTCCTCAGTAGGAACATGAACAGGCAGAAACTGAAAGGGATGAGTTATCCAAAAATTTCAACAGTTACCACTGCATTAGGAGCATGAGTAATTTCATATTTTTGTTTGAGTGAGGGAGAATAGGAGAAGGACATCAGCCATGCAATGAAAAGAATGGGCGCTAGAGGTCTCATTCACCTTAGAAACTGCTCTGGCTCTTCTGCCCTCCCCACACAAATGAGATTTACTGCAAAACTACCTCTTAAGGACTGGTAGAAGCTTCTTTAATATGTAAAGTCAACCCCCCAAAGAAGGAAAGTATAATAAATACATAGTTAGAGGATTAAATGCTGCACTGGTAAGAATGTGAGTTTGAAATACTGCACACTTCTTTTCTAAGATCCTTTTAAAATGATGTTATATATTGGACTAGTGCATGTGAGAGTTTCAATGTTTTTAAATACACACTGCAGTCCCATCTCGTACCTGTTTATTGTATCTGTCAGCATGTGACCGATAAGTTTCCTGTACATTTTCCCCCCTGAGAAAAACATTAAGGAATCATAGTTCTAAGGAGCACACTAACTAGATACAATTTTGGAACTCCAAGCAGAAGGCAAAAAATCCCAACAACCCCCTCTCCTCCCACACCTAGGAAACACCCCAGTTATCTCCAAGGTAACATGTTTACTACTGAGGATTCAGTATTAATATGTAAGAAGTCGGAAGTACCTTTTCACTAAAAGATGAAAAGCCTCTAGATGAACTATTATCTGTTGGGACATGAACTAGCACCTGTCTGCAAAGTAGTGTGTGTGGAGGAGTGTTCTGCTCTTTCTCCTTCAGTCTACAGTGTTTCCTCACAGCCCTGTTTACTGTGCCTTTACTGTGTTTACAGCCCTGTTTACTGTGCCTTTTCCCAGCTATGGCTATCATTTATCTGAGTTCTGCTGCTCTGCACCCTGGCCTTAATTCCTAGACTACAACAATTCCAAAATAAGTTGCTGCTCATGGTTCATTGGAAGAAAGCTGTTAATTATGTGCCAGTATGTTGCTTTATACTGCAGCTGCTGGTGATGAATTATTATAGTGCTAACTGTGCCATATGAACACAGTTTGTCCTGAACAGTCTTTTAAAGTTTGTTTTTAAGGAATGCTTTCTCTTTATTATTAGAACCAGTGAGTTTATGGAACTGGATATCTGTTCAATAACCACAACAACTTTCTGTTTATAATTAAAAGTTGTCTCCCCTGTAAGGAGAGGAGAGGTCCAGCTGTTCACTGGAAGACTTGAGATTTTGCTCCTTCTGTAAGCAGTTCCAGCTTTGTTCAAAGTCTGAAATAGGTCCTTTGTTATTACAACTCCCCTTCACAAGTCACCTAACTCTTAAACTGAGAAAGCACAGGCACACAGTTCACAAAACTCTGACGTCCCTGGGTGAGCTGCAGTCGTAACTCCAGGTTTATCTACGCAAACATGGCCATGTGGTTTTGAAAGTGGTCATGACTTCACTTGAGGCTGAGGTCTTGCTCACAGAGCAATGTAAATTCCTGGCAGCCTAAACACCACCTTCATCCCCTTCAAAAAAAACCCTACAATTATTCCTAAAACCTGTTTGCCAGAAACAACAGCTGAGGAGCAAGAATTTGGTTTCTTGACCTCCTGCAGTGGCTACGTGATCTCACACACTCAGCTGCTTATCTGCTGCAGAGTGGGAAGTAAAACAAACAAACAAACAAACAAACAAACAAACAAACAAACAAACAAACAAACTCAGTCCTGTAAGAAAAAATTTCACACCTCTTTCAGCAGCAAAAATATTTCTCTGATCTGCTTGTGACCTAGCCTCTCTTCTTACAGAATTTGCCAAATGCTGTATTTTTTGCAGCCCTAAAACTCTCTGCCAGGCTCAGTTTCATGTTGAATATCCCAGTGTGTTAGAGCTGGACTGGACATGGACACACAGCCCTGGAGCCCATCACTGCTCCTGCACAGCAGGCAGAGGCCGTGCAAGAGTGGAGGGAGTGGAGAGGCTACTTGCTCACAGCATGGGATAGCAACAGAAATGTCCACTCCTAAAAGGAGCAGTTGGATTCTCTCCTTCCAGAGGAAAATGTGTCCCTTCTCTTTTCAGAAACTGAAAGGCTTTTGCACTGATGCTAAGAAATTAGTTTCATTTTGGGGACATATGCTGCTGTGAAAGCTGCAAATTTTTTCATGTTTCAGTTTCATCTCTTGGAACATGAAATTCATTTTCTAATAAACAAGTTTGAGCTCTGTTTTGAAGTAGGGGAAAAAGGAGCTTTTCCATCAGAAGGGCTACATTAACTGTTTCTTGCTCCCATTTATATAAATCACATAGCTATGCCCTACTGAACAAAATTATGAGGAGAATTATCTCTTGATTACACCTTTTACAAATATATGTCTAATGCATACACTATAGAGTAATGAGATGCTCCCTTAAAATGAATTTCATTGTGCCATAGACACGTGACACACAGACTACATTGGCAATTTTTAGCAGTAACAATCCTGCTTGTATTCACAAAGCTTTGGACTCGGCTAAATTCTGTATTTTACACATAAACAGCAAAACATGTCATTTTCTCCCCTTCCTCAGGTACCTAAACCTGCTTAGTCCACACTGACAATTCTTTATTTTCTGGTAAGGAATGTGTTTTGAAAGCTGCCTCTTTGACAGAGAGCAGTCGGAGTGTGTGTGCTCACATTAAGAAGTGTGGATGTTGTTTCAGTTGTCATTCATCTGTCTCTGTGCTGTGCAGTGGATTTTAATGATCAAGGGAACTGGCTCCTTACATGAGCTCAGCACAAGTACTTGAATGAGCTCTTAGTTGTAGAAATCTATGAGAGTCCAGTCTAGGGACATGGTGAGGAAGAGAAGGTTACTTTGAATGGATCAGAGAAACGGGGAGGTGGGAAAAAGAAGCTGTTACCTTTGACAGAATTTACGTTAATTCTTAGTTTTAACATCTGTAGAATTCCTGTGGTGATAATTAACAGTGATTTTATAATGCCCTAAAAATAAAGACATTCCTGACAGCTGTCTTAGAAACTTA